GTTGTATCTACCTCCAAGCTTTTAACATTCGTTTAGACTTATTTCTGCTCTTTCTATAAAAACAGGTAAATATTGCCAGCTAAAATCCTCATTCCAAGAAATCCGCAGCACACACACAAATAACTGAAAGGTTGAGGTATCTTGTATTGATAATTTGAGTTTCAAAAAGAGATTCTGAAAAAAAGATGTCTTACCACTTATGTGGTCCAGACTGACTGTCTCCATCCAATACATTCATTGGATCATTGCTTAACTTTCCACTTTGCTTCTCTGGTGAAGTCACGTATCATATGTCCAAAATGGCTAGGAGGAATCATGGGGTTTATGCATATAAATACAGCATTGCTTTTTTTAAAAAAAAGGACAGAATATGTTCAAGAACTATTTATATGCTGGGCAGGCTTAGACTCTGTATATATTACGTGTACAGAAAATAATCTATTATGAGCATATCTTGTGTTGGGTGCCAAGCTACATGACCTTTTGATACTGATGTCATGCCTATTCACATTAATAGGAGTTAAAGATACTGAGAGAACCAAAAGCTGATGCCAAGAATGCATGGAATGGTTTCCATGGAACATAATGGCACGATTGTCTTATAGAACAAAATTGAAAAGAGCTAGAGAACGGGAAAGGGTGTGGTGTCTATAAAAATGAAAAAGTTTATTCATGGATTCAAATTTATGCCTAAAATGAATTGGATGCAATATTTTATTCTCAGTTTTCAGGCAAAAGTTAGAAACTAGTTAAATAGTGATAGGATTTTCAGAGAAATCTGGCAAACTAACTCTCTGGGAATTTTCTTCTCCTCCACCTCAAATATTCCTACCAGTAGCTCTTCATTCTTCTCTGGGAAACGAAAGAATAACTCACTTGTTTTCAATGCAACCCTTTTGAAAAGTTTCCTACCACTGTCCTCTTTAGGATGCCATGAAGACACTTCATATTCCCTTAGAGTCCTGTCACTTCCCCCGCACATCTGGAAGGTCTTGTTGCTTGTGTCTATTTACCATGAAGAACCTAACATGGATACCAAGCAACTGAAAAACAAACCCTTGTCCAAATGATAGTCTAAAACATGTGCTTTGTCTTCTCGTCAGATAGGTCACTTGTTCCTTGTGTTCTGTAACCATAATTAAATCCCTCATTGTAGATTTGTGAGCATGGCAAGCCAGCAAGTGGCTTTAGCATTACTGTGGTGGGGAGGATCCTGGCCATCTAGAGGCTGTCCAATAACCTTAGCATCCACCTAGAGGCTGTCCAATGGCTTTAGAGTCCATCTAGAGGCTGTCCAATAGCCTTGGGGTCCATCTAGAAGTTGTCCAATGGCCTTAGGGTCCATCTAGAGGCTGTCCAATGGCCTTAGGATCCATCTAGAGGCTGTCCAGTGGCCTTATGATCCATCTAGAGGCTGTCCAATGGCCTTACGGTCCATCTAGAGACTGTCCAATAGCGTTGAGGTCCATCTAGAAGCTGTCCAATAGCCTTAGGGTCCATCTAGAGGCTGCCCAATGGCCTTAGTGCCATTTCCAAGAACCAGTTTCTGTGCGAAGTTCCAGCCAAAGTGTCCTTCTATGGCAACCTTCAGATCATTCTATAGTTTAGTTTCATAATTACTAGCTTGGAACGTTTTCTTATGGTGTCTTCCCTACTATGTTTAAATAGCTCTTTTTTTTACTCTTTTCTAAAAATTACATAGAATCTGTTTTTATTATTTCCTGAGGGGACTGGCTTCCTGCCTGAATTTGTCGTTTCTTCTTCTGCAGAGCAATATTTTCATGCTTAAACCTTCCCCAACCTTTACCCCAGATCTCTGTGGGATCATTTAGTCGGGCCAGTATTACATTTTAGAATGTTGTTTACTGGACTCACGATCATCTTAAGGCTCCGTTTCCTGTACTCCTGAGTTCAATGGAACTATTGCTTCTTGGTAGCTCCATCTTTCCTTTGATTGCTGCGCCCCTTTGTTTTGCTGTCGTCCACTTTCAATTCGCTGCACCTGAAAAGAAGTACCGTGGGAAGGGTTCTGAGACTTGACAAGTTTGAAATGTCTTTCATTTTGTTCTCACTTCTGATTGAGAGCTTGGCTGAGTGTAGATATCCAGGTTGAAAAAAAAAAGATTCCCTTAGAACCTCCTAACATGATAAGAAGACTATATCTCCATATCACTAACATTATACTCAGTGTTTAAAGGCTGCCTCTGTTCAGACAGGAACTGATGTTTAGCCAGAGAAATTAAGCAAGAAGATGAAATAAAGCCACACCAAAGACAAAGGGAGAACTACCTTCACTCTTTACACAGGACTTGATCTTACACACAGGGGATCCTAAAAATATTCCTCAAAATGATTAAACCTGCAGAGGGAATTTAGCAAAATTATGGGATATGAAATCAATATACAAAGTTCAGTCCTATCCATTGCCAAGGAACAATCCAAAATGAAAATGAGGAGAACAGTCTGTTTCTAACAGTAGCCAAAGAATACATCACATTTTTCTATTTCTTTATTTTTTACTTTTGCCTTTTATTTTGCGTTTGTAATATAATTCCATAGTTTCCCTCTTCCTTTCCTCCTGCTGAACCCTCCCATACACCCCTTTTTTGGCCAATTTCAAATTCATGGTCTCTTTTATTTTTATGATCTGCTGTGACACACACATGTAATTATATACATATATTTTTACTAACTATAACATGCTCAGTCTGTAAAATGTTACATGTATGTATATTTTCAGGGCTGACCATCTGATATTAGATAACTAATTGTGCTCTTCCCTGGGGAGGACTATTTCTCCCACTTTCAGAATTTCTTCGCTGTCTGCCGTTCTTTATACAGAGTTGAGGTTTTATGCTCCCCCACCCCCATTATCTTTGGCATGTCTATTGTCCTTGTTCAGCTCATGTTTAAAGAGTTATGTTGATGGGTCTTTATGGGTGTAGCTCTGACATTACTAGAAGACACAGCTTCAGAGTAAATTTCCTGATCTTGGCTTCTACAATCTCCTGCTCCCTCTCCTGTAACATTTCCTGAGCCTTAGGAGAGACAGCATCTTGTAGGTATATCCGTGGAACTGGGCTCTACAGCTCTACATTGTGATCAGCTGTAGTTTTTTGGAATACTCCCTACTGCAAAGAAAAGTTTCCTTTGTGAGGGGTGAGGTCTACATTTATCTATGAATAGAAAAAAGTTATTTAGAATGTAGTTAGTGATTATGTTATTTTAATAAACTGGAGGCTGTGGAATAAATGGAGTTGAGGAAGGTTAAAGAATTATGCACTGAAAACTGCAGAAACATTGCTGAAAAAATTAAAGGTCACCAAACAAATGAAAACATATACATGAATGGATTAGGTTTGATATTGGTAAGGTATCAGTACCCAAAGCAATTGATGGAGCCAGTGCAATGTGCATGAAATGCAGTGTGCATCAAAAGCAGTGTGCATCAAACACAATGTGCATCAAAAGCAGTGTGCATCAAACACAATGTGCATCAGATGCAGTGTGCATCAAAGCTCGCAAGAGGCCATTTCTCAGATTCGCTCAAATTGACAAGCCTAAAAACAGAAATCTAAACCAATAATGAAAAAAAAATCCACCAAAATTGGATGTCTTACACTTTCCATTTTCAAAGCTTATACAGAATGATAGTCATCAAGTCAGCACAATGATGAGTAAGTTATTGGTGAATTATAATTATGAGCTCAAGCCAAAACTCATCTCTCTCTGGGCCAATTGATTGCAGTACCGAGACCATTTCCTAAGAAAGAAGACCTTCAATAATTCTTTGAAACAACTGGGTATCTGTTTGCAAGAGAACGAACTTGCACTCTTAATTTCCTTCACATATAAAACTTAATTCAAAACACACTAAAGACCCAGATAAAAGATAAAAGTATATAACTCTCAGGAGAAACCTGAGCCAAACCGTGACTCTCTGCGCCTCTTAGACAAAGCACTGGAAGTACAAGTAACCAAAGAAAAACAAATTGGGTTTCATCAAAATCAAAAGGTTTAACTCCTCCAAGCATGCTATCAAGAGAATGAAAAACAACTCTTGGAATGGCATATTTTAAAATCATGTCTCTGGTAAAGGTCTGAAAATATAAAAATCTCTTGTAAATCAACAATTAAAAGACGATTCTAAGTCTAAAGACAGATAAATACAATATAGCTTTGAATGCACATTTACTCAAAGAACATATTCTGGTTTCCAAGAAGTGCACGAAAAGGTGTTCAATGTAATTAGTGTAATTAGAACAAGCTTATGGTGAGATACTACCTCACACCTAGGGGGACTCCCAAGGGGAAGGAGAAGAGAAAAAGAAAAAGGAAAAAATGGCAAGGACAAGAGAAAGTATGAACTTTCACACACTACCATGGTGAAGTTTATTCATTTATTTTATTTTTGGTAAATATACAGTTTTGATAAAAAAATAAAAGTATTTTATTGTATTTTACATGTATAGATTGTTTTTGCCTGTGTGTATGCATGTATATGTATGCAATATCTGTATGCTTGGGGGCCTTAGTGGTTAAGTAGAGAACATAGGATCACCTAAAACGGTTGTTACAGGTTGACCCACCATGTGGTCGCGGGGAACCAAATCTGGGTCCTTTGTGTTTACAGCTCTAAAGGTCGCAGGATCTGAGAAAATGAAATTGATAAATGAGCCAGACTAAAGTCTCATGTAATAGCAAACTTTATTGAGAGCATCGGACAATGTATAGCTTGGGGGTTAAGAGGAATCACATGAGCAACATGTACAATCACAAGGACAAGCCACACATAGCAAAAAACACGTTTTCCCACAGAGGCAGACAAACCAATAGCAATAGCCGTTTGTAATGAATAATCTGAAGTAAACCCACTCCTATCTGCTACCCCTGGGAGGGGCATGAAAACGCATTCCAAGAATAATTTCATGCTTTTGAAGAAACTGAGGTCACAAGAGACACTTGTCTTGTTTTCTTGAAGTTTTCTCACAAGCACTCAGATTTCTCCTCACAGGACTCCATTCCTGGACCATGTTCTGGGGACACTGCAAGACAAGAAGTGCCGTTAACCCCTGAGCCATCTCTCCAGCCCCTATCCTGTGTTTATCTTAAAAACAGGAACAAAAGAAATCGAGGTAAGATGAAGGCTGGTGCGGTTCAGGTGGTTGGTTGAACTTCACAGTTCGTTGAGGCTTTACCACAGCATAAAAACAGCATAGGGGTGGCCTTGGATGTGTTGTGAAGACATTCTTTACACTTGTAATGGGCTTTATTTGAAGCTTTACTTTAGGAAAAAGACGTTACTCTCAACAATCGGGGTGGCCTTTCTAAAGCCAGCAGAAAGGCTTTGAGAGAAAAAAGGGAGTCGACCCCAAGACCGTAGCATCTATGACTCCTGCTGCATCTTCCAGTCTATAGGTCCTGTCTTCAAATGCTAGACTTGCTGTTTGATACAATGTGTGCCAATTTCAAACTATCTATTCACACATTTACATCTATCTATCTATCTATCTATCTATCTATCTATCTATCTATCTATCATCTATCATCTATCTATCTATCTATCTATCTATCTATCTATCTATCTATCCATCCATCATCTATCATCTATCTAATTTTTAATTACTTCTTGACTTTTTAGCGAAGATCAAGTGTACTTTTTTATTGTGCTTTATATGTGTGAGTATGTGTGAGTATGTGTGAGTATGTGTGAGTATGTGTGAGTGAGTGTGTATCACATGTGTAGAGGTCAGAAAACAGCTTGCAGGAATCAGTTCTCTCCTTCCACCATGTGAGTTTGGGGATCAAATTCTGCTTATCAAGCTTGGTACAAAGCATCTTTTATCCACTGAGCCTCCACGCTGACCTCTACCTATTGCCTGTCTATCTCCATCATTGGTACTTGCATACATGTATGAGTGTGCATGTTTGAGTCTCTATCGTATGTTTATGCATGCGTGTATATGTGGTATGTGCAACTCTATCATCTATGTATGTATCAAAAACATCTATATGTGTATTGTACATATCTATTCTTCTGTCTCTATCATCTGTATACCTATATATCTATGAGTGTTTCTGTGTATCCATATATTTTTCTGTCATCTATACATCCTGCATCTTCTATGGATTCTGCTTTTCCTGGAAAATCTGGATTGATACAACACTGTAAAAAATATCCTTTTAACCAACTGAAGGCCATTTTTCTAACCTTATCTTAAGAGTTGCTGATGAGAATCATGGTACCTGCCTGGTGTTCAGACCTCTGTTGTCTCTTCATCTCTTTGGAAGCCTTTGGAATTATATTTGGTTCAGAAGTTAGGCTACAGCTCTCTGGGTTTCGGTCCTCCTCAGGTCAGCCGTTTTACTATATGAAGACACACTTCTTCTTTTGGTTCTGGAAGGTAGTTAAACAGTTCCTTTTGTTATCTTCACTCCACTGCTTTCTAAGTTTTCTAAGTTTTCTGTGCTGTTAGATGGGTGTGGCCTTTTTTACGCTCTGCTATGTGGCCCTGCTCTCTGTGTTCTGCATTTTTAGAAAGAAGTTGCTTGGTTTATCCTTCTATTTGGGGTGAAGATTTTTGAAGTTACATTTGAAAATTTCAAGAACTCATATATCTTGCAATCATTCTTTTTCTTATTATAAAATTCTAATCTTCTCTAGAACTTTGAATAAAATATTGTCTGTTGGAGTTACCTTTTCCTTCAAGGCCCAGTTCTCTGTCTACAGTGACAGAGAGCATGAAGCAGTGGTCTGACAGGTAAGAGTTCAGATCTTACTGTTAATGTAGATGGACAACAGTGTGACTTGGGCAGGCAGCTTGTGCACCTCTGCCTCCATCTCGGGAAGCATAATACTTGTGCTCAGCTGGCAAACATGGAGAGAGCCTTATGAGCACAATTAGCCAACACCTAGGGAGGCCCCAGTAAAGGAAAGATGTAATTAGTAGCTGTTCCTTAGTGCTGCAAGCTTTACTCCTAAGACTCACGGATCCTTGCTGCTGTCGGCACCCAAGAGTCCACAGCTTCTCCTGGGTTCCACTATCTACCCTTTTCCTGTCTGTGGTGGCCCCTTCCATGTGGACTCAAGGCTCTTTCTCTTTGCCCTCTTCCATTTATCTGGAGACACCCTTAAATCAATTTTTCATTTTCCAGAGATTTGGAGAAATCACTTATTAACGAGCTAAAAATCCCCCTAACCTGTCTCCTTCCTAGGAAATTATACTTTCTTTTTTATTTTTTTAAATCCTCCATTTCTATTTTAACGTTTTTCAAGATGGTAAAGAGAAAAATCCATGTGTTCAGGTACCATTTTGAACCCAAATTCCCAAAATAGAGAATTTTTTGCAACCTGAGTTCTAGTTCAATTTCTAAATTGAAATATTTTATTGATATCACATGTAAGCTCATAACCTTTCTAGAAAGCCTATTGCTAGTCTTTATATAGTTTTATTAGTCTCAATATCATTAGATCAGTGTCCTTTAGTTTCTCGTGTGTGTGTGTGTGTGTGTGTGTGTGTGTGTGCCCGCGTGCACATCAGCAGAGGACACCCCCACATCTATCTTGGTCAAGTTCTTCTACCTTCTTTGGGAAAATGTCTCCTTACCGTTGGTCATCTGTTGTTTGATTAGCTCATGCCATGGTCCACAAGCTTCGAAGGGCTGGTTGTTCTGTCTTTGCCTCTCTCCCATCTCGCCACAGGAGCACTCAAATTCCACATGGCACACGATGTCACCCTGGTTTGTGTGGCTTCTAGGGAATTCCAATTCAGGTCCTCACACTTGCATGACAAGAGCTTTATCCATCATCTACCCAGTCCCCCATCTCCCCCTTTTTTGGAAAGCAAATTAATTTTTATCATTTATTTTAAAATCACACTTAGGGTAGAGAAATTGCATTCTAAGGAAAGCTTTATATAAAATAAGCCGTCATCCCTACACACTGGGATAATTAGTCATGGCCTCCAGCTTTTTGAATCGTCATATTCTCTTTTTCAGTTCTGAGTCTACTCAGTTCTCACCGATTCTGCAATACTAAAACCCCACATTGCACCTGACAAGGCTCTCCTGACTGCAATGCTATATTTTGCTCTTACTTTCAATACTAACAATTATTATATCAAGAATTTTTAAGGTATAAAAACCAATAAGTCTAATGCCTCTTTATCTTTTTTAATAATGAAGAAAATAAATTTAAAAATAACTTAAATAGCTATCTCTGTGTGTGGTTTGTTTGTTTCTTCTTGCAAATTGTTCAGTTTTGTAGTGTCCACTCTTAAAATTCTTTTGCTCTCCCTTGTACTTTGCTTTCATTGGGAACATTGTATATACTAGGCACCATTCTAAGCACTGGTTATACAAGACTAAATAAATGGACCAGTCAATTCCATGCAGAGTTTATACGTTGGTAAGGGGGCAGATATATAATAAAATAAAGTATATACTAGGTCAGATGGTGAAATGCTTTGGGGGAGAATAAAGCGGACAAGAGTGGATGTGCTTGAGAGTGAGCTCTTGCTTTATCTGAGCTAAGATCTTCCAGGAAGAGGACTAGCCAGGACACAGGAAGGCCTTGAGGTAGAAGCCTGCTTCCCTTCCTCATTAAGGAATTAGAAGAAGGACAGGGGCAGTAGACAGGAGCAAATAAGGAGTGTATACAAAGGAACCATTGGGTATGTGCTGTCTTTGGGTACCAAACAGATCATGTTAAGTGCTTAGAGATGAACCATTGCAATAGCTTTGACTTTTACTATGAAAGAAAATGGAATGTAATTGGGAGGATATAAACAGAAATGGCATGCTATAACTTATACTTTAAAAGGAATTCTCTGGCGGTTGTGTGGAAAGTAATCTGCAGGAGACAAAGGCATCAGCTAAGACATCATTCAGTAGGTTTAGACTATGGTGGCTGAGCCAGACTAATCATTGGAAATATGGTTAGAAGTGGCCAGATTCTGGATTTGTTTTGTATCTGTATTTATTATTATCATTTTTTTGATAAATGGTCCAATGTAACATAGACTGACTTCATATCACTATCAGGCCAAGGATCACAGCTACATTAAAGAGAGCATTATCAAGCCGTCCATCCATTCCTCTGTCCACTGCCCTGTAATCTGTCTACCATTTATTCAATTCATCAATGAATATTCATCCTATTGAAAATTATAATTTTAAATCACTTTTGTCATGTTATTTGTTTAAGACTTATTTATCTTTAGTTTATGTGTATGTTTCTGTGCCTGGGTGTAGAGGCGCCATGTGCATCTACCTATTCTACCCACAGAGGTCAGAAGTGGGCTTTTGATCCACTGGAAAACAAGTTACAGGTGGTTACTGTCTCAGTCCTGCCGGTTTATCTGGTCCATGATTGAAAGAAGGAGTGTGGATTGAGGAAAAAATAGATGAGAGACTGAAGATAAAGTCAGAAGGGCATTCCAGTGAATACTGAATCCGCTTCATGTTTATTTCTAATAGCCTTTTTATACACCAATCCAGAAAGGAGGGGAAAGGTGAAAGGCTTTTTTGACCCAGATACAAAGAACCCAAAAAGTAGTTACCTTTTTAGTATCCAAAACATCAAATAAACACACCCTAGGTCAAAACATCCTGTTTCTTTGACCCTCTAGGAACAATAATACACTCAAACTCTCTGACCTTAGGTCAAGATGGAGCCAAACCACTCTGATGGATGGCCGCAGGTTATAAGCTTCTGGATGTGGGTGCTGGGAACTGAACCCAGGTACTTTGCCTGAACAGCAAGTGTTCTTCACTGCCGAGCCTTCTCTCTATTCCCACAGATTGTTTTGATGCTGTGTTTTGTAAGCATGTATGTGTATGCCCTCATACTGCTGAGAAGACGTGGAGGTCAGAGGACAACATACAGGAGTTAGTTCTCGCCTTTCACCACATGGGTCCATGGAATTAGAGTCAAGTTGCTAGGCTTAGGTATGAGCACTTTAACCCACTGCGACACCTTGCTGGCTACTGTTACACACTGTAGATCTTAGAGTTTGAATTTGGGAATGTTTGTATACTTTCTGTACAGAGAATACTTGAGATAACATAGAGACTGAATGTTTCTTGGGCTTTGTAAAAGCCCCGGGACCTGACACTTCTCTCAAAGGTAAGGCTTTGATAATCTTTCATTTATCTCTCATCACTTCCTGAGCTGTTGTTGGCTATTTGCATTTTTTTCTAGACAGTAGTCCACTTCTTTGAGACATAGCAATTAATTGCTTTGGGTGGTATGTAGCATCATAATTTTAATATTTCTCTTTTTTCATGTCTGTATCTTCATTATTTTACTATCTTTATACATTTGTGTTTTGTCCTCTTTTTATTTATTTGGCTAGTTAGTAGGATCACCATGATTTTTTGTTTATATTGAAAATATCTTTTCTTTTTATTGAAAACAAATTCTTTTCTCATACAATACATCCTGATTATCATTTCCCCTCCCACCTCTCTTCCCAGTTCTCCTCCACCTCCCCTCCTGATTCATTCCCCTTCTGTCCCTCTTTAGAAAATAACAGGCTTCTAAAACATAAAAAGCAAACATGACAAAGTGAAATATAATAAGATAAATCAAAAATGCTCATATCAGAGTTTGACATGACAAACCAACAGGAGGAAAAGAGACTCAAGAGCATGCAAAAAAAGTCAGAGATCTACTTGCTCTCATAGTCTATATAGTAAGCTAATAGTTACAATATACAAGAGACTCAAGAGCATGCAAAAAAAGTCAGAGATCTACTTGCTCTCATAGTCTATATAGTAAGCTAATAGTTACAATATACACAGAGGACTGGTGTAGACCCATGTAGCCTCCATGCTTGTTTCTTCAGTCTCTGTAAGCTCATATGCACTTTCCTTAGATGGTTCAGAGGCTGCTTTCTCCTGTTGTTTTCCATTCCCTCTGAATCTTACAATCTTTCTGTCCACTCTTTCACAGGATCCACTGAGAGCTGAAGGGAGCTTTTTAGATTCTCCCTCCATATAATGCCTGGCTGTGAGTCTCTGCATCTGTTCCCACCTGCTGCTAGAGGAAGCCTCGCTGATGAAGACTAGACAAAGCACTGAAAAACGAATATAGGAGAATATCATTAGGATTAATTGTATTGATTTTCTAGACCAGTTGTGTTTGGTTTCACCCCAGGTCTTTGAGCTATATAGTCTCTCTCTGGTTCTTGGTTACCTAAGCAGTAACCATTAAATCAGACATTGATTGGCTACTCCCAAAAGTTATATTGCAGCACTGCCCTACCATATTTTGCAGGCAAGAAAGATTGTAGGTCAAAGGGTTGTGGCTGAGTTGATGTCCATGTTTCTCTTTTGGTAACCTGAGGAGTAAATTCCTGCAAATAAAGGACTAGAACATAGAGAACATATGGGTAAAGGCTTCATGCAGATAAACGTCTCCATGTTCAGTGAGATATGTGAATGTTGTCCTAGGCAACAGGATCTTGATGTCAGTTTGCAGAGAGCAACCATTTGTCTTAGCATCAGTCTGGGTTGTTTGGAGATTAGCATGGGACTTTTTAAACCAACAACTCATTTGAGCACAACCCAGTTCATCCCCTGGAAGTCTTGCACATGCCAGAGCTGGGGGTACCTGCTGTGGAGAGCTGCTAACAGGGAGTGGAACCAGCTCAAGTGAAAGAAGTGTGTTACAGTCAAAAAACCAAAAAACTGAAAAGAGTTGGAGATCTGAAGAACATTTTGCCATCAGACATGGAGATGCAGAGTTTGGAGTTTGCCCAGCTGGTTTTTGGTCTTGCTTTGGTTCAGTATTTCTTCACTATGTTCCCTTTTCTACATTTTGGAATGGTAATAAGTATGTGATATGTTTTTTGATTTTGATTTTATAGGGGCTTACAGTTAGATTGCATGACTCACGGTAGAGTCTTTGAACTTTAGACTTTTAAATAAATTTGAGACTGTTATAGACTGTGGAGACTTTTGAAGTTGGACTGAAAGCATTTTTTGCATTATGATATGGCTACAAGCCTGTGGAGTCCTGGAATGGAATGTGGTGGTTTGGAAGAAAATGGACCCCACAGGGAGAGACTTTATTATGATGGTGCGACTTGGCTGGAGTAGGTATAGCCTTGTTGGAACTATGTCACTGTTGGGGAAGGGTTTTGAGGTATCCTGTGCTCAAGCTATGCCCAGTGTTGCTGCCTGTGGATCAAGATAGAGAACTCCTGGGTCTTTCTCCAGCACATCTCTGCCTACATGCTGCCATTGTCACCTGCCATGAAGACAATAAACCTCTGAACTGTAAGCTAGCCCCAGTTAAATGTTTTCTTTTATAAGAACTTGTCACGGTCATGGTGCCTCTTCACAGCAGTAGCAATCTTAACTAAGACACACATTCAGTGTGTCTGGTTTTATATTGAGGTCTTTGATACACTTGGACTTGAGTTTTGAGCAGGGTGATAAATGTGGAATTAGTTGCATTCTCCTACACACAGACATTCAGTTTGGCCAGCACCATTTGTTGAAGACGCTGTCTGGGTTTTTTTTTTTTTTTTCCAGTATATATATATTTCTGGCTCCTCTCTCCCACCCAAATAAGGTGTCCAAATGTGTGTTTGGATTTATGTCTGGGTCTTCAGTTTGATTTCACTGATCAATGTGTCTGTTTTTATGTCAATAACACGTGGTTTTTATTACTATTGCTCTGTAGTACAGCCTGAAATCAGGGATGGTGATACCTCTGGAATTCCTTTTATTGTACAGGATTGTTTTATTATCCTTGGGTTTTTGTTTTTCCATATAAAGTTGAAAATTATCCTTTCAAAACCTGTAAAGAAATCGTGTTGGGATTTTGATGGGGATTGCATTGAATCTGCAGATTGCTTTTGGTAGGATGGCCAGTTTTACTTATGTTAATCTTACGGATGCATGAGCAAGGGAGATCTTTCCATTTTCTGATGTCTTCTTCAATTTATTTCTCCAAAGACCTGAAGTTTTTATTATAAGTTCTTTAATCTTGCTTTGTTAGAGTTACCCCAAGATATTTTATATTATTTGAGGCTATTGTAAAGGGTGTTGTTTCTCTGGTTTCCTTCTCAGTCCATTGATCATTTGTATATAGGAGGCTACTGTTTTTTTTTAATTAGTCTTGTATTCAGCCATTTTAATGAAAGTGTTTATCAAATGTAGGAGTTCCCTGGTGGAACTTTTAGGGTCAGTTGTGTATTACTATATCATCTGCAAATAGTGATACTTTGACTTCTCCCCTTCTAATTTGTATCCCCTTGATCTCCTTCACTTGTCTTATCATTCCAGCTAAAATTTCAAGTATTATATTGAATAAATATGGAAAGAGTGGACAGCCTTGTCTTGTTTCTGATTTTAGTGGAATTGCTTTTAGTTCTCTCCATTTAATTTGATGTTGGTTATGGGCTTGCTGTAAATGGTCTTTATTATGTTTAGGTATGTCCCTTGTGTCCCTAATCTCCTCAGGACTTTTATGATGAAGAGGTGTTGAATTTTGTCAAAGGCTTTTCCTGCTTCTAATGAGATGTTCTTTTATTTTTTTTCCTTTAGTTTGTTTGGCCGATGGATCACATTTACTGATTTTGTATATTGAACCATTCCTGCATCTTTGGGATGAAGCCTACTCAATCATGGTGGATGTAACCTTAGGATCACCATTTTAATGTAGGCTTCTAGTATGTAGCTCTTAAACTTATTTATTTCTCATTTTTATATTTTGCTGATCATTTATTTTAATTCCTTAAAATTACTTCTTAATTTATATCTTTGTTGCATTTATTTTGCTACTCTTTTCTAGCTCTTTGAAAGAAATACTTAGTTCATTTTGTTTCTTTGTGTTCTGAGTTTGCCTCAGAGGAGTGCATTGGCTGTGACTCACTGGTAATGACATCAGGTTCTCATTGCCGCTCTCTCCTTAACACCCAGACTTTCAGATTTGTCCCAAGAGACATCTGTTAATGACTTCTTCATAATCATCTGGGTTTTTTTTTTTTTTTAGTTTACACTGCTGAAATTAATTTCTGGTTGCAATGGCCTGTGGTCAGAGACACTGCTTTGCTTAATTTCTGCTTTCTTGGACTCCACTGAGGTTTTCTACTCTTGACGAATGATCAATTTTATGATTTTTTTTCACGAAGCTTTAAAATAGGAGTAGTATTTTTTTTAGTATCGTTTGCTGAATACTAAATTCCACTTATAGTCACAAATCAGTTTTTAAAAATTATGTTATTACTATTTCAATTTTGCAATTTTTGGTTAATATGTCAAGAATTAGAGACATACTTATATCACTCATGTTTCATAGTTTTATGTCTTAATGTCTTCAGTGATTTTGCAACTCACTTATACAAAGATTTTTGTTGTTATATGATAATCTCTTTATAGTACTTTTTGCCTCAAATTTTGTTTGACTGATATTAATCTTGCATTTACTGCTTTCTTCTGGTATTTTAATTTTTTCCTGATAGAGCTGCACAGATATGTAAGGCCTGGCCATCTGAGTGTATCATTGGATATTAGCTTAATTATAAGACAATGGGGACGTTAACGTTTGCAAATTTCCATTTTTGCTCTAATATCATATTACACTACATACACAATGCTTTGCATTGTCATCGTGTTATAGAATCTATATGTCCACATAATATGATTGCACACTCTTTCTTTGTGCTAATCACATTTCTCACCACTGTGATAGAATTCCCAGCAAAACAGCTTAGAGAAGGAAGGCCTGGTTTTGGCTCCTGGTTTCTCAAGTTTCCATCTCACATGATGAGGAAGACATGATGCATGCAGGCTTTGTGTCAAATAAAATAGCAATCACCAGTGATACGGTAAGAATCTTGTTAACAATTGGTCTATAGTTAGTTACTAGGGGATGGCAAACATTTGAAAGGGCTTAAATGTCTCCAGGATTGTTGTGTTGACTGTTCTGTCTCTAAAATTCACTCAGACACTTGCCTTCACATTCTGGCTCATGTGCTGCTCTGGGGGCTGACCTCCACGTACAATGTCCTCTACGCCATGTCTTGACTGGCCTCATGGGCTAGGGAAGGTTCTCTTGAGGGGAAAAAAAAAGATTGCATATAAAATTATAAAGACAACTTATTTGATTAGCTACATGATCCGAGGTTTGGTGGTTACACAGTGATTATCTTTGAGCTGGAGGTGGGACAACCAGCGGCTGTTCAGTTAGCGAATTTAGAAACCTCAGAAGAAAGAACCAAGGTTACCCTTGTCCAAGACTGGAGACCTGAAGCTCTCTGAACGGAGTCTATCTTCAAACACTGGAAGAACATATCCAAGGGCAGTGGCAGCAGAAATATATGTGTCTAGTAAATCAAGACAGAGCATGTTCGTACCTCCTGGCTTTCTTCATGCTATTTTGTGCTGTGACTGTCCCCAGCCTAATGGACAGTGTGACCCCCACTCAGGGTAGATCTCCCTTAGCTCACTGGCCCATATCACCTTGGTCTACAGCCACGTGTTCACAGAAATCCAGTTAATGCACTTTACTAATCTTGTAGGCATCTCCCAATCCAGTAAAATTGGCAGTGAAGATACCGTCACGTAGATAGAGCTCAACCTACGGTTGTTTCTCCAGGGGACTTTTCAAAGTAGCATTCTGTCTTTCCTTGGATCTTCACTGATCTAATATATTGGATCTGGATTCATGCCTTTTAAAAAAGTAAACAGCAGAAAAGCCCTTTAAGTTGCTTTTGGTTTGTTTGTTTGTTTGTTTGTTTGGCAGGAAGAGATGTAAGTGGACAGAGGACCAATAAAAAACTTGAACACATGACTTAAGGCTGAACAGGAGCTAAACAGCATTGTTAACTACAGGGACCAAGAGAAAGGTTACGCTGTGGGAATGGGCTGGCTCCCACACTTTGCCCCTGTGAGAACTGTGAATATTTCTCAAACCAGTTTGGTCCTGACCCAGTATGCAAAGTTCATGGAGCAGCCAGGATTTGAGCTTTCCTTAGATAAGTTTGGGAGAGGTCACAGGGGCTGTGGGGTCATTTTGGCTTCTGTTTGTTTGTTTGTTTTTTCGAGACAGGGTTTCTCTGTGGCTTTGGAGCCTGTCCTGGAACTAGCTCTGTAGACCAGGCTGGCCTCGAACTCCCAGAGATCCACCTGCCTCTGCCTCCCGAGTGCTGGGATTAAAGGCGTGCGCCACCATCGCCTGGCTTGGCTTCTGAAATCAAAAGTATTCATAACCAATGTGATGGATACAGAGCAGACATGGAGCCCAGGCAGTTAGAAAGGACCAGTGCCAGTGTCGGGAAGATAGCTCAGCTGCTAAAGGGCTTGCCTTGATACAGTGACATGAACAACATTTTGTTTTTTTTTTAATATTTATTTATTTGTTATATATACAATATTCTGTCTGTGTCTATGCCTGCAGGCCAGAAGAGGGCACCAGACTCCATTACAGATGGTTGTGAGCCACCATGTTGTTGGTGGGAATTGAACTCAGGACCTTTGGAAGAGCAGGCAATGCTCTTAACCTCTCAGCCATCTTTCTAGCGCCACATTTTTTTTTAAGGCAGGTTTGGTTGGTATACGCTTGCTCTTCCAGCACTGGGGAAATGGAGACAGGCAAACCTTTTGGAGCTCACTGGTCAGTCTGCCTTACCTTCTTGGTAAGTTCCAGGCCAGAGGAGACCTTATTTCAAAATAATACACAGAACTTGTAGGACACAACCTTAGGTTGTCTTCTGGCAAAGACATACACACGCACCCCCGCACACATACCCGCACACACACCTCACCCCTACACACAATGACCAATGTCTTCTGGAGATACTATTTATAATGGTATCTAAATGCTTAGCACATGTTATGTTGTGAATACTTATTAAACACATTATAGACTTAAAAGGTGAGAGAGTTAAATGACTTCATAATTATGTAATTATTTGCTCATTCATTTATTGATCTCTCCTTTTCTGTATCGGCTATCAGACAAGGCTCCTTGGCTGAGTTATGCTGAATGTATTCTTTAGACTTCACCTATGTCAACCCAGTATATTCCTTTCAAGTAAAGTAAATATACACACAGCAAAGAGTTCCAAACATTATGAATCAGATTCATGTAAATATGCTGTCGTGTATCTTTTCCAGGAAACAGTATTGTCAGGGATAATAGATAACCTTCACAGAGGAATTTTTTTTCTGGCTCTCAGGATTCTCAACCCATTTGGAAGATCAATGTTAATTCAAGAGTTCTCAGCTCAAAATGCAGCTTGTTCCGAGCTCTGGCTGTGGTGCAGGAGAGGGAAAAAGGAATGATTTGTGACCCAAAGAATGTGCTTTGACAGCCGAAACCCAAAACACATTCAGAAATTTCCACAGGGGCTTTCTAGGTGACCTTGTGAGGGAGCAATCTTCACCAGGTAGAGAGAAGGGAAGAAATTGCTTGGGAAGACATCCGGGTGAAATGCGATGAGAAAAGAACAGTGGATTTTACCTTGTGGTTACTTGGGGGGGGTGTAGAAATGTGTTTTTGTGTGTTTTGCATACATGACATCTCTGCAGGCATTTTGGGGAATTTGGAAGGAAGAGGCAGCATCTGCCCACAGGCCTCTGAGTATTGAAAGCATCCTACTAGTGTCCAAGGCGGGCTGGTTCCTGCTGCCCTGAAGCTAAGCTGTCATTGAAGCTTCTCTCCAAAGCCTCCTTGGAAGCTGGGTGTGGAGCTGGCCCACAGGGTCTAATTATAAGATTCCTGAGGTCCCATGCCACTGTTTGCTAGAAATAAAGGTCAGCTAGCAGTTCAGCCAGAAGCCTCTGTCCTGAGTTAAGTATGAAGGATCAAGAGGCAGAGAGCCTTAGCTTCAATTCACCAATTTATTCCTTAAAAGAGGAAACTAGCAGCAATGGCTCATTTTCTTCTAGATTATCCAGTGAATGCAGAAATAAAATGCAGGTAGTTTAAAGCACCAAAAAGAAAACTTCAAGCTTATTTTTTAAAACAGCATATAGGCTCTAAGTGGTAAAAGTCACAATAAATTGTGATGCCTATTTCCCTAATAGAACTTTTAAAATAGTACTTACTGGTCATTATGTCCATCAGGAGCCAGACAGCATCTTGGGACAAAATGCAACAGTGTTGCCAGAATTAGCTAGAAATGCTAGAAATGAAGTTTAGTACATTTGAAAAGGTTTGTTTCCTTTCCAGAATAAATGGCTATGGTACTTTCTTGCTTTTTTTTTCCAGTTTTTTTTTTTCAAAAGAAAGTGTTAGGTTGAATACACAGAGAGGAAGGCTGACTTCTGGAATATT